TGTCCTCACTCATTCCAAGCAGTATAATGCTTCTCTCATTGGCCAAAATTGGTAGATTATCTCTGGTAGATCATACCAAGACTTGGGTAGTCCCTTTCATATGTGTTCCAACATTCCCCATCTGTATCTGCTGTGGCCACAATCCTGTCCCACATGATTGTTCTTGCCTTTGGGTCTTGTTTGTAGGTGGAATTAAATGTTGCCTTTATATCACAGTTAATCATCTGGGATAAATCTTTACTAGTTGTACTATCTTGTCTTGGTGCTGCAGGGTACCTTGATCTGCAGTCTGGTGTGGCACTGAGTTTGCTGGGGATGTGCTTTATACAGAACTTGTACATTAATGAGTGTTCCTTGAGGCTGAATAGTTGTGATGTGTTTTTTTTTATGTCGTCCAGTCTTGTCTGAGAAAATTTGTATTAGGGACTTGTGGTCTGGACATCCCAACACAAACATTTAACATGATTCTAATTTGTATACTAGCACCAGTATCTCTCCCTCTACTAGTGCATAGTGTGACTCTGTGTCACTGATGAATTGGGATCTGGCTAGAATTACATTCTAGTGGTCTTCACTGCAAACTGGTTCCACTTTGATGGCAGTTATAGTGCTTCTGGAACGGAAAGTAACCTATTCCAGTTCTGATAAAGTCTGTTGATAGATATGTCGGCCAATTGAATATAAATATCTTCACACTGTCCTTTATTTCTTGTTCAATCCTTTGTTTTGATTTGTTGAATATTTGGTCAAGTGTATTGTCGCAGTAGAACTTCCAGTCATTTGTCAGTAGCAATTTCCGGAAAGGGATTATTATCTTGGCTTGGGTGGGTGTATATGAAATTTGGTTCACAAGTTTGAATCAGGATCTGACATTGGTGATATTTTTGGGTGTAGGGAACTACAGGATTGTTTCCATCATCCTCTTAGTGGGTTTTATCCTGTCCTCTGTTATAAGGAACCCAGCAAAATCCACGTCTTTTTCTGCGTAGTGACATTCCTCCAGATTGAAGACAATGCCATTGTTGCCACAGTGGGTAATATAGTCTATTGTGTGCCAAAATGATGCTTCTATGGAGTTGTCCCAGAGTATGCTATCATCAATACAATAGGGTTTTCGGACCATATCGATGGGTATGTGTTTCTCCTGATGTGTGGAATCCATGTGGGGCCTGAAGGTATTGATACCTGCCCCATTCAGTGATTAATGTAGTTGCGTCACATGCAACTGGGAGGAGAGGAAGGCTATGGTACCCATTGCATGTGTCCAGGACAGTTTTCCTTGTGTGTCCTGGCACCATTGAGGCATGATGAAACTGAGATGGAGTATGTTGGATCTCCCTCATGGTAGCAGTGTTCAGCTTCTGCAAGTCTACTGTACACTTGGGTGAGCCATCCTTTTTTGGTGCAGCCACCACACTAGAGTACCAAGTTGTGGGTGTACCCACTGGCACTGGTTTGATGATGCCCAGTGCAGCATCCCGGTTCATGTCCTTTTTTAACCCTTCTTTTCCAATGTGGAACTGTGATTGGAGTGTGGACTGCTGTTGGTGTTGTCACTAGAATGAAGGTGATGCTCAAATTTTCTGTATCTCCAGTGATTTAGTGAAGGCTAGTCAGTACCTTGGAGGTGTACCTGAATTCAGCCTCGGCTTCCGGAATCATGGTTACTTCTATTTTCAAGAATGGTGGTGGATCTGGAAGCACCCCTCAGAACTGACTCACATTCCAAATGTGGTGAGGCCTTTTGGTTTTGCCAGGTTGATTTTAACCCTCCTTTAACTTTGTCTGAATTGGTGGGCTATCCTGCTGGGATTCCCCATGTTCCCTTTGGTGGTGAGAACATAAGATTCCTGTTTTGTTATGTCATCATCAATCTGTTGGCAGACCCTTTTTTGGGTCTGTAGCACACCTTCTGCTTGATTAATCCACATTTAAAACATGCCAACTTGGCCACTGGACAGCTCTTTTGATCCATTGGAATGTGAAGTCCTTCCATGCCCTCTCTAGAGCTTGGCATATTGTGGAGCTTGATTTTCTGGGCCTGTTGCTCACAGTCTGACTTTTGCACATTGGATAATGTAACCAGATGTATAGTGCTGTGGGGATAAGGAGATGATTTGTTCGTCATTTCTAGACTGACTAAACTGTCAAATTTCTGCTTGAGTATGGTGGGGGTAGCAGTCTCTATCAGTATTTTGCTCTGGTGTTCAACATTAGTAAGCCCTGCCACCATTTGTTCTGCTACCATGTCATTGGAGAAATTCATTTGCCAACTGCAGTTTATTGTGCTTGGGCAAGTAATTATAAACTTGCAAAATTTGGCCTGGGCTTGTAATTGAGCTAAAAATGCATGATTTTGAAAGAGTGAAAGTTCTGCCTGTGCACTTCTTTGTACAACCCCTGACAGGGACAAGCTGTAATTGCCATAACTGTTGTTCTTCTGTGGCAGAATTGAGTGTCTTGGCATCCACGAGCTTGACTAGAAACCTGTTCACTTCTGGGATACATGCTGTCTTCAGCTCATTCCAGATAACTGCTGGGTCTGTTAGTTCAAACATCTCTATAATGGGTCCATGTGTTAATAAACATTGGCCAGTTGCCGTCTGTTTCATTTAGTTGTATTGTAGGTTGTTCTGGTTTTCTGAAATGAGACATGTTTAGCTGGTCACAAAGTTCTTCCTTTTGTAGTGCAATATTTTCCATTTGTAGCTCAACAAGTTTTTGCATAAGCTGCAAATATTGTTGGTCTATGGCTGGTTTTGTCTCGTGTTTCAGAGTCGTCAATTTGAACGTTTGTAATTTTTGCAGTTCTAAAAAAAAGATCCTATCGGCAACGTCATGCCAAGTGCTTGAATGATGGTTACAATCTGTCTACTTTCCCAGGCTTTCTGCTAGCCTTGTTTATATTTGCATTGTTTACACATGTGCCCAGATTAGTCAGTTTCATGAATGGGTTACTGCTGTTGTTCTTACGGACATCCTTCTGTATTATACAACCCTCTGTTCTACTCTACATGATGAATATATAGTAATTTGGTGACTGTATTTATATCTTATGAATTGTTGGAGAGATGAATGAAGAATTGTCTTAAAACGTTTATTACCATCATTTCAAATGCATCTAGTCCTCTTCCTTGAATTATAGCACTGATTTCTGCAGAGATTTTTTTCTAATGCTTAAAATCTCAATTATTGTGATGATTATGTCCATTTCGGTGTTTGCATTTACTTCTCCAGTTGGGTTGTATCTCATTCTTTGGTTTTTCAAAAAGTAACTTGTTTTTTTTTTCTGAAGCTTTCTAGTTTGACTGATGCATGAAGCTTTTTCTTTATCTGGATTTTAATCAGTCTGTAAGCTTAAAATGAAAACATTTTTAAACTTTAACTGAAAGATCTCTCATTAGCATCCAATAGAAAATAAATTTCAGAGTCTTGGAATCTATACTCACTTTGCATGCCAAAAACTTCTTGCAGTAACTATCATAAAGTTTCAATATTCTGCAAAAATAAAGAGATTCTTGTTTCCATAACAGATTCTGAAAATTTTTACTTTTTGGCTTTTATGGTTTTATGAAAGGTCTATACCTGGAGATGTTTCTTGGATGAATCCAACAGGGAATAATGGTTTGCACTTGAAGAAGCAAACTGGAAGCATTTTGCCACCAAAAGGTATCCTGTGAATCTGTGAATACATTTCCCTCAAAAACATTCCTTCTTGATCTGTCAAGCATTGAGTATTTATTTCTTTATATTAAGGAATAATCTGCATTGAAAAGCATTGTATCTGAATTAATGCCAGTCTCACAGACAAGATAGTGTATACAGCAATTCTGACTTGAATAATGCAAGGTGTTTTAAGTGGAGATCCAGCAATCTATTTTCATATCATGGTTGTATATTGGATAAAAGCCAAGGCTTGTCAAATAATCCTTGCTCACTAGATAATTTTCCTGTTACAAATATTACTATTCAGAGCCAAATTTGAAACTTATTGATGTGTCATGATTTATAATCTGACTTTGTGATAAAATATCTGACAAGGGAGAAACAACTCACATTGGTTATTTTTCTCTATTTGTCTGTCAATATTCCCTTCATTTAGTAGGAGATAGTGTTTTTAAAATCTCTTGGAGAATTGAAAACCATTCTGTTTTTTTTCCATTTCTTGACAGTAATGAAGACTTCTCTGAAGTTGAAAAGGTGAATTTTTCTATATTCAGAAGAATATTTTAGTCTACATATTTATTTATTAGCTTTGGAAAATTTATAGCTATACAGCTGAGTGTGTAAACTTATTGAAAGCATTATTAAATAAAAAAAATTAGATGATCTGTCAACATTTGAGAGATGTGTAAATTATTCCAATAAGGAAAAAAAAAAAAAAATTATGAAGGTAGAGTATTGTAAAATTTGTTACTGCTGGTGTTTATATCTTTGACTTTCAGTGGGAGATTGTTGTAGAACAGTATTCTACTTGGACAAGAAGTCAATAACATTCAGGTATTATATTTGGCAGTTGCTTATATATGATTTAAAAATGTTTGATCTGTATTTGATTTTTAAATGGTAATCCACCATTTCTTAAGTTGAGGGGAGTCTTGTTTATTATTGCAGGTTTTCTTACATTAATTTTCATATTTTTTATATTAATAAAAATAATCAGATAAAATCAATTCTTGATGTATTTTAAGTTGCTTGAATTCATTTTGTATATAATGTACTGGAAAATGTAGAAAGGCCAATAGTTTTAATAGCCTGTAAAATATCATTGGACATATTCAAGATTATTCTAATTAGTAAATAAAAGGTGTCAAAGTAAACTTTGCAATGATTTTTAGCATCCACACACACACACACACACAAGCAGAGGTTAATTTTAAGAAGCAACTGCTCTGATATGAAAAAGAATACTCATTTGTACATGCTGCATGATAAATTTAATGTTTTTGTTGACTTTTTATACCCCTTTATTTCTCCCTCAGGTCTGAATACATATCAAAATGCCTACAGTATTAGACAGAAACGAACAACTCGATCAAGTGAGTGACTACGCACTTAAGGTGTATGGAAATCATCCTCGCTGCAGCCAGTCTCAAGGTGTCACCAAGCATGGCCTTGTGGTTGCATCACGTATAGAATGGAAAAATTGGCAACCTGGCAGTGAATACATTAAGCATGTCCTGATAAAGAATACACAATTAAAGATGCAAAAAATTACATATGAGTAAGTGTTTTCCTTCTTTTCTTAAACTTCATTGTAAAAATGAAATGACCCCCATATTTTGCAGTTGTATTTTGGATGCAGTATTATTGTTGGTATATTATTTTGAATCAAACAACAATCAAGAAGAGACAGATGGAATTTCTTGGACACATAATGAGGAAAGAGCATCTGTAGAATCTAACACTTACAGGACATATTGAAGGCAAAATAACTAGGGGGAAACTATCTCAATGAGTTTGTATGAATGAATGGCAGAACAAGGACAAAGAGGAATGGTAAAGAGTCAAAAGTTGCTCAGAGCAACAAAAGACGAGACATTGTGGAGAGCCATTATCACCCACTTACTAAAGCATCTTGGCACCTAAGATTCTCATTATACTGTCTTAATCATGATGTTTTGACTGGAGTTGTATTTTTTCAGCTTTTTTCTAGGTTACTAATTTGATAGTACTTCATAAAATGTGTTTTTAAAAGTCAGAATTCGAGTTTTTATTTTTTTTTTATTTTTATTAAACTATAAACAAGGAGGAAAATTTATGTATTCACTTTCTCTTTTCCTACTTGTAAGCCTCTTTCAAAATGAATGATTTTATGGACACATGCAGAAAGCAAAGAACTGTTGGAGAATTCTTTTTTTCTTAGATCTTTAAACCCTGATCCCCTGATGTCAATCTCATAAAGCTGCACACGAGAAAAATGTACATTTTTGTACTGTGTTTACAATTCAATAAATAACAAAAATAACATTTTATTAAAAAATAAAAAAAATGAAAATAAATCCTGGTCAAAATTACATTGGACATTCTGTTCCATTATGTTTCAATGCCAATACTCTACTTTAAAGTGCCATGTATACTAGCAATTGTCTCTCTACCAATGCAGAGATTGGTCATCACAGTATGAGCATTTGTACATAATTTTTCTCCTTTTAGGTCGGTTCTTGTTCTGTGCAGCTCAGTTTTTATTTTTGACAATGAAATATTTTTTCAACAAACTGCACATCTGTTATTTGTTCTCCCATCAACTGACCTGACATCATTGGTAGACATCCACTTTTAGCTATTTGGTGTCAAGAAACAGTTGTGACCAATGATTGCCAAATGAACTAAGTGCACTTATGTTTTCCACTAGGTTTTCAAAGTGGTCCTCCAAAAATGCATGAAAGGTGTTCTTGTTTCCCTATTGAATATGAGACTTGGTGAAATTCATTAGTACATAGGTATTGTATACTGCCCATATAAATATCTTCATCATCAAGCAACTTGGCCACTTGTAATGACACCTACATTTCTGACGTCTTGTCATTTGATCATTTTTATCTGTGTCTCCCATGTATGTATTGTATACATTGGGACACTTTACTGACAGCTGTTTGCCACTGTGTGCCTCATATCTCTGAACTTCCTCCACTAGAGTTGTAACTTGCATAGTCCTAACAAAGTAAATGGGTCTTTTGTCTTGCCAAACAATATCAGCTATGTTGCCACTGTTATAAAGTATGTCCAATTCCTCTCTCACCATTTCATTGTTTCTCTTTATTATTGCTCTTGGAAAGTCCTTGTGATTTGTCATTGCAGCATGACACATTGTGATTTCATGGGTTTCATGTACTGTGCTAATTTCACTGTTGTATAAAAGCAATCAATGTGCAATGATTGATTCTGCCTAGAAAACTTTTGTTAGGTGAGCAAACAAGTTCCTTGTGACTCCTGAATCTGATATTTTTGATATATCAGCATCCTGCCAATGTAGACCTCAGCATTGCAGATGTAACTGTCGTCACTGTCAAAAACTATTATGCCCCAATTTATTGGCTTGTCTTTTATGTATTGTCTGATGGAAGGTTTATTTTTGGTTGGAATCCTACCATCAGCTAATGACAGTACACACCCAAGCACATAATAATGCTTGAACTTAACAAGTACACAGTTGAATGCTAGACAGGTTTTGTAGATCTGATCTGTTTTATTTAGCTGAGGGTCATCTTCCTTTACAGTGTAATAATGACCAAATGGCAAAGAAACTTGTCCTGAGCCATCACAGAAGAAAAAGCAGATGTATAGGTGATAACTTTCTCTTTTGATCTCAAATATTGTTCATATTTATCCTTATGCAATAACATTTCCATCATGTCTGCAAACCAAAGAAAGTGTCTTCATTTCCTCCACTGTGACTGGGGTTTATTTTGAACTGCTTTAGCTGCCAAGTTATTTTGTTTTATTGTGAGCACATGAATGGCCTGATTATTTGTTTCTGTCACCAAGTTTCAAAGGTCCTCATCTGAAAGCAAAGCAAAATACTCAATTGGATTTGATGCTACACTTATTGAATTGGTTATGTTTTTAGGTCGTGGCTTTTGTTTTGGGATAAAACTCCATTCCGTAAACTCTGTTGTACTTTCAGTTCACCCTGGAGAAGAGGCAGGAGGTTGATTTACATTTTGATGTCCATGGTCCTGAGATTTACCACACCCTCTAGTTTGACCATGATACATACCTTGATCATGCTGCATTTGAATTTTTTCCACTTTAAGTGGTATCTATACTTCTTTTTGACTCAATATCTTCAGTATAATGATAATCAGTCATCCATGTCCTCCTCTGTGCTAAGATAAATTTAAAAATTTTGTTGAGAATTTCCATTTCTGTGCCATTCTGATGGGCAAAAAAAAATGCTCATGAAAACTTGTGCACTTCATCCGGCTTTAGGCAGCCTAGTATTATTTAAGACACACTGATTGGCTGAAATTCACTGGTGACCTAATATTAGATAAAACATTTTATGATTGGCTGAAATACTCAGGCCAAATTATGGGTGAGATTCAAGGTTGTAAGACCATCATGTTTGTAAAATAAATGCATATGACTGGCTGGTATACAGGCCACCTAGGTGTATGCACTTTCACACAGTGACTGGTATACTTTGAGTTCAAAGTTTTAAGCAGAAAATGCTACAGATATCCACAAGAGGTTCATGAATGTTAAAGGAAAGGCTGCACTTGGAATGAACACAATAAGGAGATTGGTCAATAGAAAGAAGAAACTGATGTTAGTGACAGGTCTAGCAGGGGTAGGCCAGCTGCTGCCATGAATGAAAATAAGTCCACACAAGCTGAAGCTGTCATTATAGCTGATGGTATAATCACCACAAGAAAACTCTATAAAAGCTTTCAGGTGAGCAATAGAGCTATTTGTGCTGAGTGGATTCTCAGAATGATGATAGACTCCATGAAAGGAACAGAGAATAGTTTCATCTGTTTAGTGTCATGAGGACAGTATTTCTATAATGACAAATTGAAAGAGACAACTGGCATGTGTCTTTGAGGGCTTTATACGTGCCCTTATTAGATGATTGAATACCATCATTGAGCAGGATACTGTTGAGAATGAGATTTACAATTCTGAAATGTGTGTGTTAAATTTGGTATTGTTCATATACTTCTGCTATTAAAGAACATTTTGAGTGACCACTTGTACATTTTGGATATTGTCAATAAGTTTAATTGTTGCCTGTTGCAGATTTAAGCATCCCCCCCAACACATGAAATGCTATTTCAGAAGGTTTTGTTGGAATAACTACTTCCTGGACATTTATCAGTCTTTTCCAAATATCATCTGTCATTATCTTCTCTAATCTTTGTTTCTAGAAGTAACAAATATGCAGATTCATGGCATCACAAGGAATTAAACCTGAGATATCCACATCACTTGTTAATCCTCTCGTCTTAACTACTGAGAGAGAGATAGAGAATTAAAGCTGTCTATTCAGATTTTGTTTCTTGGAATCTTCACTTGCCATTTCCATTTTAGTTTCATTGCTGATCACTACATTTTCTGTTTTGGTATTTTACTTTCTTCTGTGCTTGCAATGAAAGAATCAGGAGCTGTCACTGATTTCTGACATTTATAAAAAAATAACTATAAAAAACTCTAAATTATTGAATTGTATATCTTATAACTACTACATTGAAGAATGTTATACTTGAACATAGTTACTATTATGATTTAAGTGTAATCTCTGGCTTTGTTTAGTAACCTTCAAGTAGTTTCAGTTTAACACTATTTGGTTCTTGTACTTTTACTAAGAATTGAATACATGACTCTTTGGAAGTCATTTGTCTCTTGAGCCTTTTTAAAACCTATTATTGCTATGTATTTCATCAAGAATTTTGTTTCAATTTTAGATGAAAATGAAATTCCTTTCCTTTGAAAAAGTGAGAAAAGACATGTTATTAGCAAAGAAAACTGAATGAATTATCAGAACTTGAATAAATTTCCATTGTACCAGTGTTCTTATGAAATGCATGAATTTCCATCTGCCTCTGCTCTCTCCAATAGTCAGATGTCTTGACAAATAGTTTTACTTGCATGCTATGATTTTTGATTGAGAACAATGTAGTTAGGTCAAGGATTCTTGCTAGCTGCAACTCAGTTCATCTGGTCCTAGAGATTCCATGAATAGATAACTGAATTAATCAGACAGCCGAAGCAAATGAGTGTTCATGTTCAGTGTTGTTGTTGTATATTTTTTTATTTTTATTTTTTTTTATTTTATCTTTTTTTATTTTTTTATTTTTATTTTTTATTTTTATTTTTTTATTTTTTTATTTTTTATTTTTGTTTTTGTTTTTTTGTTTGTGTTTTTTTTGTTTTTGTTTTTTTTGTTTTTGTTTTTTTTTTTTTTTTGTTTTTTTTTTTTTTTTTTTTTTTTTTTTTTTGTTTTTTTTTTTTTTTTTTTTTTTTTTTTTTTTTTTTTTTTTTTTTTTTTTTTTTTTTTTTTTTTTTTTTTTTTTTTTTTTTTTTTTTTTTTGTTTTTGTTTTTTTTTTTTTTGTTGTTTTTGTTTTTTTGTTGTTTTTGTTTTTTTGTTTGTTGTTTTTGTTTTTTGTTTGTTGTTTTTGTTTGTTTTTGTTTGTTGTTTTTGTTTGTTTTTGTTTGTTGTTTTTGTTTGTTTTTTGTTTGTTGTTTTTGTTTGTTTTTTTTTTGTTTTTGTTTGTTTTTTT